TTTTTGTGAACAGAACCCTCTGCTTTGCTTTTAACACAGATCACTGGGAAAGGTTTATATTTTGTTCTGGTTTATGAGGATATGTTTCTTATTTGTATGTGATTGAATGAGACAGGGACGTCATACACCTCTATATCTATATATGAAGACTTCAGATGCAAAAACTTCTAAGTCCGTTCGACATTTTTCTTTTAAATGAACATTTTTATCAGACTCCAATGTTTAGGGGAATGTCACTGAAAATGTCACTGAAAAATTAAAAGTATAAAAATGCTAATTTAATAATAATAATAATATATATATATATATATATATATATATATATACTGTATATACACCTAAAATTGTAATATAAATATGTGCAGTTTTGTTGTATGGAAGAGAGTAGTTTAATCATCTTGGCACAATTTTTTTGTGTGTTTGATTAAAATGATGGGTAGGTAGATCGACCGATTTGCAACAATACGGTTTTGGGAAACAGTCGTGAAGAGCTAGTTGATTCCTTCAACGATCCATCGCACCAGGGTAGTTAAGCAGCGAGTTACATCATTGTACGGGAAACACACCCATGATTGACTTTAAAATTGTCATGCAGTGTCTTTGTCCAAGCTGCCATGATTGTCTATGAGGACAATCTCAAACAAACATGGCCGCCATCGGTCAATGAAGTTTGAGCACCTATCAGACCAGGTTAACAATGGCCGATTGGAACGAAACTGGGTGGGTCTGTTTTGACTCATGGCCCTAGAGGTCCACTATACATGGCCCAATGCCAATCCCAGAGCTGGGATATCTGTGTTATGCTGCCTCAGAGGTCTGTCTGAAATCAGTTTCGTGCTCAAACGCTGCCAGCTAAAGCCATTGCCAAAGCTTTCAGACGCAGTGTTACTTTCCTTTGTTTGTTCCCTGTTAGTTTGCATTCTAGTTTGTCGGTTCTCGTTTATGACTATGTTTTGTCAAGTGTGGTTAGTTTTTCTATTCCTGTTTCCAACGTTCTCCTGAGTGTTATGTTACTCCATCTTCATTGACTACCACACCGTAACAAGTATGTTATTTGATTCCCGTAATAACTACTCTTTTTAAAAGTATGCTAAAGTGCACTTCTTTTTCACAAGGGAACCAAAGGCTGAAAACACAAAGAAAGGTAAATGTTTCACTTGAACATTTTTAGGTAATTCTGTAATATTTTGTGATAATGTACAACACAGCAATTCATTAATAATGAATTTCATGATTAAGAATAAGTGGTAACACTTTACTTGAAGGGGTGTGCATAAGACTGACATGACACCTTCATAACCATGACATGACACATGTCATAAATATGAAGTAGGGTTTATGCATGTTTATGACAACTGTCATTAAGTGTCTTTCGCTCAATAATGACATTTTGAATGCAAATATGACATTGTTTAAGATGTCTTTGTTATGACAACTTGACATAAACCATAACATCATAACCTTTCAGTGTCTTTGTCATGACAACTTGACATCAAATTAAATTAAACTGTCATATGGTTGGTTTTGACACTGGCTGTCATGAGGCATTATAACTGTGTCATGAATATTTTTCGTGACCTCAAATGGTAAAAAAAATTAAAAAGTTATAATGGCTTCATGACAGCCAATGTCAAAACCAACCACATGACAGTTTAATGTAATTTTAACCAATAAGTGGTTTCTTAAGTTTGATAATTAATCTGCTAGGTCATGTTTATGACAGGTTGTGTTGTCTTAGTAATGTCAAGTTGTCATGACAAAGACACTGACAGGTTAAGATGTATTTGCTTATGTCAAGATGTCATAACAAAGACATTACAAACAATGTCATATTTGCATTAAAAATGTCATAATTGAGTGAATGACACTTAATAACAGTTGTCATAAACATGCATACAACTTCCTTCATATTCATAACATGTCATGTCATGATTATGAAGGTGTCATGTTAGTCTTATGCACACACCCCTTCAAGTAAAGTGTTACCGAATAAGTACACTGAATAAAGTATATGTAAAAAGTTGTCCAAAGGGGAAACGACTCAGATGGAGAGAATACTGCACAACACCGATCTCACTGTGTGTGGATAAAAAAAAAAAAAAATACAACATTCTCAAAAGGACAAAATCTGCAATCATAAATTAATTTAAATGCACATAATCGAATGAATTATTCATTAATGCCAATCACAGCTATTATTGTTGTGGTGATTATGCAATCTCTCAAGCTTTATGCAATGATTGCATCTGCTGTCTGCAGTTAAATGTCATTTGGCTGTTTGAATGCAGAATTACACTCTAAAAGCCTTATTTTCCTCCCGTCTCGGGGGCTCATTCGGTTAAACCAGGGATTTAAAATACTTTCTTCAGGAGGGGGTCTCATTTGTTATTTTAACTTTTAAAGACTGCTATGAGTGTGCCCTTTTCCCCCCCATGTATTTTATTTCCTAAGTATTTTCTTAGCCAAATTAGAGACAGAAAGAGGCCAAACCGAAATGATTTATTCTCATTATTCTCTGTAGCCGTATGTATTCGAGCTGTACTGAAGTCTCACTCTGGCTCGGGGAAATCAGACGGGCTTAACGCAGCAGGATTCTGCTCATAATTAGATTCTCACCCATTGTTAAACCTCACTGGGTTATTCATCACCTGCCAGTGTGCTTATATGTGCAGGCTCGGTAGATATTACTGCAGAGCACTTTAAGAAATTATCAAGAAAAAATCTGTGAGACAGATGGAGAGAAGGAGTGCGGCTGCAAGTGCAGCTTTAATCATCAGGTTTTCTGCTCACATTTTTTGACAGAGTTCCTATTGGTTGTATGTGTTTATGTCCAAGAGCAACAGGTGTGTTGGTGCAGTACCATCCCCGAGCTTCCATAACAGTTTCATAACAAAGTTGTATACATCACGTAAGCATGTTCTGTGTCAGTTATTGGGGATGCACCAATAAAGATTATTATTAAATAGTTGGTTATTTTTAATGTTATCTGAGCAATAACCCATTTGATGGCTAAATATGGTTTATTAATGTATACTATTAATATAAATGTGACATTTTAAAAATTTCCCAATTTTGTTTTTGTTAGTACACATTATAAATATGTGGCATTTTTTAAAAGACATCACAACACACATTAAATAAGCAAAGTCAATTTAACATTGAAAAAACAGTGATCAAAAGCTTTTAGTTTTATCTTAAGTGAAAATTCTACTTTTATATTATAGCTAATTTGGGTTTTGTTTATGATGAAATTAATTAGTTAAAGCAATATATATATATATATTAAAAAAGCATTTTGGCTTGTGTCTAATAAATCATCTTTTTACTTTGTATAATATTTTTGCCTATGGGAAAATAAATATTTTTGATCAATATTAAATCTAAATTTAAGGTTTGAGTCAAACTATGAATATAGTATATATTTATTTATATATTTATTTTTTATATATAAATTTAAACAAAAAAAAATACATTTGACTGTAAGAAATACGACTTTTTTTTAAGTTGGTCCAAAGTATATCGTTTTTTTTCTTCTTCTATATAGATAGATTTGTAAAGTCAATTCATGTTGTTGTGTTGTCTGGATGGGATTCCTCTCTCTAGTAGAGTTACTGAGCTGTAAGTGTCTGTTATTATTACAATGTTGCTGCATTAAAAATTCATGATGCAAGCTGCAATCAAAATTAAAATGTATGAGTCAGGTTTTTTTTTTTTTTTGCCTGTGTGATGCATTTGCCTTTTTGGGGGGTGAGATTGTCCAAAAAAGAGATTTACCAGAGAATGTTACATAATTCACTACTTTGGTGTTGTATGTGTACAAAGAGGGAGATAAAGAGAATGCATTGAAATAATGGAACGACTAGAGTCAAAAAGAGCAGAACAAAAGAAATATCAAAGGCAGCAAGGCGCCTCAGTCTGTCACTGTCCCATTTCTCTAATAAGGATATTTTGCTTGCCCTTTATTTTACAGTCCATGCACTTACGTGTACTTACCTAAGAAAGTACTGGGTAATATAAGGTAGCTACATGGGTTAAGGTTAGGTTTAGGGATAGTAAGTTATTACCCAGTTATTGTAATTACTATAATAAGTATATGGGGAACAGGACTGTAAAATAAAGTGCTACCCATATTTTTGTGAACAGAAGGCTAAGCCCTCTGCTTTAACACAGATCACTGGGAAAGGTTTATATTTTGTTCTGGTTTATGAGGATATGTTTCTTATTTGTATGTGATTGAATGAGACAGGGACGTCAAACACCTCTATATCTATATATGAAGACTTCAGATGCAAAAACTTCTAAGTCCGTCTGACATTTTTCTTTTAAATGAACATTTTTATCAGACTCCAATGTTTAGGTGAATGTCACTGAAAATGTCACTGAAAAGAGCTAAATTAAAAGCATAAAAGTGCTCATTTAATAATATATATATTATATTTTCAGACGCAGTGTTACTTTCCTTTGTTTGTTCCCTGTTAGTTTGTATTCTAGTTTGTCGGTTCTCGTTTATGACTATGTTTTGTCAAGTGTGGTTAGTTTTTCTATTCCTTAGTAAATATATTTATATTTATTAAGTTATTATATATATATATATAATAAATTATATAAATATATGCAGTTTTCTTGTATGGAAGAGAGTAGTTTAATCATCTTGGCACAACTTTTTCTTGTGTTTGAGTAAAATGATGGGTAGGTAGATGATACAACTTGATTGGATTGACCAAATATAGACGAATATCCTTTTTTGGACGTGCATTCAGTGTTAATGGGCGGGATGAATCTGAGTTGGGGGGGCTTTCATACTGTTGTCATGTTTTACAACTTTGGATTTTCTGTCCACAGGTTTCACAGATCATCAGTTCTGTGGGATGCAAGAAAAGAAGATGAGACAACAATTCGGAAACTAAAGGAAAATTGTCTTTGGGAAGGAGCAGGAACAATTCCACTTCATTTTCTCTTAAGCCAGACGTTTCAAGAGACACCACTGAGACCGACCGGCGATGGAGCGCTCTCATCTGAACAACAGCTCTGGCTCGTGGTTATTCGAGGATCCCGTCTGTCCAACCTCTCTCAGCAGCACCACTTTCCTCATCGTCGCGTACAGCACCATGCTAGCGGTGGGCCTGGTGGGCAACACCTGCCTGGTCTTAGTGATCACCCGCCAGAAAGAGATGCGCAACGTGACTAACATCTTCATCGTCAACCTCTCATGCTCTGATATCCTCGTTTGCCTGGTGTGTTTGCCGGTCACCATTATCTACACCCTAATGGACCGATGGATTTTGGGCGAAGCTTTGTGTAAGGTGACGCCATTCGTCCAGTGTATGTCCGTGACGGTTTCGATTTTCTCCATGGTTCTCATCGCTTTGGAGAGACACCAGCTCATCATCCATCCCACCGGTTGGAAACCAGTCGTCAGACACTCCTACCTGGCTGTAGCGGTTATCTGGATCATAGCGTGTTTCATCTCCCTCCCGTTCCTTTCCTTCAACATCCTCACAAACTCGCCCTTCCACAACCTCAGTCTCCCCTTCAACCCCTTCAGCGATCACTTCATCTGCATCGAGCAGTGGCCGTCTGAGGGCAATCGGCTGACTTACACCACGACGCTCCTGCTGTGCCAGTACTGCTTACCGTTGGCGCTCATTCTCGTCTGTTATTTCCGCATATTCCTGCGTCTCAGCCGGCGTAAAGACATGGTGGAAAGGGCTCGAGGTGGACGGCAGAAAAAGGCCAAAGGCTCAAAGCGAGTCAACGCCATGCTAGCCTCGATCGTAGCAGCGTTCGCCCTGTGTTGGCTTCCGTTGAATGTTTTCAACACTATTTTCGACTGGAACCACGAGGCAATTCCCGTATGCCAGCATAATGCTATTTTCTCGGCTTGTCACCTCACCGCCATGGCGTCGACATGTGTCAATCCGGTGATCTATGGATTCCTGAACAATAACTTCCAGAAGGAGCTGAAGCTGCTGCTTTCCAGATGCCGTTGCTGGGGGCCGCCGGAGAGTTACGAGAGTTTCCCGTTGTCCACGGTCAGTACGGGCATTACCAAGGGCTCCATCCTGAGCAATGGCTCCACTAGCACCTATCAACCACAAAAGAAGAACAGTTTGGAACAGAAAGAGACCATTTAAACGTGTCCAATGTACTACAAGACACATTTTATGCTTCTTCGAGCACTCGGAGGTGGCCTGAGAATACGGCCAGCCAATCTGTGCACGTTTCATGGCTGAATTTGAGACAGTGAATGTCTGTGATATTTCAAGATCTTGTTCCTTAAAGATGTCGCCTTTAAATACGGAAATGGTCTGAAAAAACATTAAGGAAGGGTCTTGTAGCTGGGCTCTGAAGAGGAAGACAAAGTAAATCGCGTTGATGTTTTAACCACTGCTAAACTGACTTGTTGGTGTTGTGCTCATTATATGGTAAGTTCTCAGTGGCATTTCCCCCATTTAGAGCAAGGTTCTCTCTCAGAGACGTTATAATGAAATACTGAGTGAAGGCCTTTTCTTCTCACTGTCTTTGTCCAGGGTTAGGCCTGCGGAAGAGACATGAACTATTTAGGTTCTTGTCACTGTTAAACAGGCAATTCACCTAAAAATAACTTTACTCTCACACTTGTGTCATCTGTGACTGTCTTTCTTCTGTGGAACATAAAAGTAGATATTCTGAAGATCGGTCTTTTCATGTAATTGCAATAAAAGGGGACTAAATTTGCCTGAGTTGCACCATAAAAGTGTCCTAAACCTATAGACCATTTGACGTGCGTGCTTTATTCCAAGTCTTCCAAAATCACACAATAGCCTTGAAATGTTTCCTGCAGTGAGCTGTCAATGATTTCAGATCCAGATCATTATGTTTTGCGCCGAACAGACCAATCAGAAGGGCATTTTGAACCCGATCATACAGATTCCGATTCAAAATAATGATTTATTCTCTCATGAACTATTTGAACATGCTATGGAGAGCTATGGGGCGGATGACTTAAATCCCCCAAAGATATCATTGGCTTCAGAAGACCTGAAATATAGCATACTTTTATAGTACTTGGTCGTCCTTTTTCAAGGTTTAAAGGCTTCAATCCAAATTTGTTGTATTTGCATGGAAAAGACCTATACCATTCTCCTTTTTTGTTTCACAAGGAAAGAAAGTAATTTGAATTTGGAACAACATGAAGGTCAGTAAATGGTGATTTTTGGTCATTTTTGTTCATTTTTCTTTAAAGGAAGGTGCAGAACTAGCAATACATGTATAATGTGTACATTTGAAACACATATATAATAGTTAGTTATAATACAGCACCATGACTATATAAGCACATTGTGTCATTGATTAGGATTAGAATGTCTGCTATTTCAAATTGATATGTACTATAATTTACACATGTTGTTGCTCTGTGTGACAGCTGTAATTTGTTTCACTGTCAATATAAATATGCTGTGTCCTTCGCTGAGTGGCTTTATTTGCCAAAGCTATTCAAGTGAATTACAGATTCAGTTCCTCATCTGCACTTTCACTGGACTGTGGCTTAAAACTAAGCAAAGTGCATGCAAGTAGTATTTGCAATACGTATACGTGGCCGAAACATCATTATTTATTAGAATAATAACACTTTTAAACACTCTGCAAATGACAGATGTCAAGTCACATGTTTGAAATGATCAATCACCTTTATTTAAAGTTTCTGGTCTAGTATACCTAGCACTAATTTACAATTAAATTTGATTAAGATTACTAAATTGTCACTTAGCCTGATGTACCCTTGTGAAAAAGAAGTGTGCTTAACTGTATTGAATGTGCACTTGTAATGTACTTCAAATTTTAAAAGTTAATATGAATTAAACTTAAGTGCTCTTAACGTACGCTTTCATGGCTGTTTCTTAACAAATACACTTTTGAAAAGTGCACTTTGTAATGTCAATTTAAAGGTTTAACTTTGTTTTAATCATTATGTTTTAATTATTTTGTGTTGGGCTTTAAAGAAGTACACTTATTTTGATGTGTTGACTAACAAAGCACATGTGTAGTACTTAATTATCATTTTAACTGTAATGTGTTGATTTAAATTGCAACTTCATTATTACAAATATGCAATTACACATAATTTAAATACATGACATACAAATTTCAATAAAAATTACATTACAGTATATTTTAGTTTACCATAAATGATTGTCAGTACATTCGGTGGTACAATTTAACCATACAGTATTTCAAAAACAGTAATTAATTATGAAATTACATATAAAGATGTACTACAAAAAAAAAAACACCCACCAAAATTCAGATAATTGCATTTAATTTAAATGAAAATTCGAATGCATTTTAATTTAATTGCAATTAACATGCACTTAAGTGTTCGAAAACATTACATTCAGTTCACACTTAAGTACTATTTCCATATTAAGTAGGCTTCTCTTTTCACAAGGGTATACTTCAACATGGATCATTATACATATTCCTGATGTTTTTATACTTTTTTCTTTTGAAATACCTTTGAAATGTCTTTTATCTGTCACTGTATTGCCAACCATAGCATGTTGCTATTGCCCTGCCGTCCCAAGTGACACATCAACCCTTGCAGTCCTCCTCATAGTCCATGTTCTGGTGACGTGATGCCACATAAGCTGCTAAAAAGTAGTCTGCTGTGAAGTCTTCGCAAAAGGACACATAGAAGGCACATTACAAACACATGGGGCGGTCTTGAGTACCGTACTGAATCATGAAACATGACAAAAGTTGACACACACTTGTGCAAGCGAAGGCCACAAGATCACAGGTCCACGTCAAGTGCATCATTTGGGTCAGGGCCTAAGTTCTCACTGAAGCTTGATATTAATCAATTATTTTCTCTCTGCTTCTGTTACAGTCCCCAGAGAAACACTGCTCTTATAATTTATTAAGCAAACAGCACTGAGAGCACACTGACTTTGTTCACAGTTGTCTACATGCTTACTCATTGATTTTATTCTTCGTGTTTAGCTGAAATGGTCCATGTAGTTTGTAGGGCCTGAATGAATGGGAAGATTTATGTTTTATAAATATGTACTAGCTTGAGTTTTTTCAAAAGCATGGTTGCATTGAGAGTTTCTGAAGAGTGAAAGGCATTAATGTGTCGCCATAAAAACATTGCAACCATTCACCAGGAAAAGTTTAAACATTCAGTCGCCATTTACAAAGATATTTATGGTTTGATACAGTATATTTCAGAAGCATCAACTCTTTGTCAGTAGGTTCCCCCCCTCTCTCTCTCTCTCTGCTTTTCAAATATCGCAGGGTCAGTTATTGACCGGAAAGCCGACAATGTGGGAGGCCTATATTTCAGCAATACACCTGTAAAAAATTGCTTTGAGGTGTTTATGTGAATCAATATTTTTGTCTCATTTTCTTTTTTATTCCAGAGTTATTTCACTGGCCTCAATAGTGGAGTGTGCCTGAGGTCAGCTGGCTGTTTTGCATTAAGTTGGAATCTGAACTGCTTGCAATAAAGCATTTACAATAGACCTACCATAAATAAAAAGTCACAAATGCAAAATTTCCATTCATAAGGCTGAAACAGTAGCCTATAATAACGCTGTTTACAAACCCAGTGAAGTATTTGAAAATCACCTGGACACCTGCAGCTCTTAACACTATACGCACCTAATTTTATATTAGAACACAACACTAAATGTTATTTTATATATCATTGATCGTTAACATTTTAATCTTTATAATTTGTTGTTCAGGACAATGTGCCACACATAGCTTACAGAAATGAGAAATCATAATTCATTTATATAATTCAGAACTGTGTAGTATTGTTTGACTCATTATGGCCTAATTTCATAAGGGAACCAAAGTCCTATGAGTATCAGTCAAGTCAAGAAAATTCAATTAACATTCTGCCAAGCATTTGCTTTGGTTTATGAAGAAAGCAAATGGCCATCTAAAGTTTTCTGAAGTATTCTCAACTGTGTAGTTATTTGCACATCATTCATGTCATGGGGTATTTGGTAATGATGTACATATAAAAAGGACCAAAGTTTATATCGAACTTCTATTGATGTTTTTCCTCAATTATTGAATGTATACTTTCATGTACATTAAAAAATTTAACCTCTCCATATCTTGCACTTTCTTTGTGTTTCTTAATGCATGTTATTAGTTCCTAACTTTATTTTAAGTTTTGATATGTGCAGTTAATGTTGTTTTGCAACAGACACTGCACACAGAAAGGCACAGAAACAGACAGCTGAGAGAGAGAGAGAGAGAGAGAGAGAGAGAGAGAGAGAGAGAGAGAGAGAGAGAGAGAGAGAGAGAGAGAGAGAGAGAGAGAGAGAGAGAGAGAGAATACCCATCATATCTCACCATTTTGTGCCCAGTCTTTTGTCTCTTTGTAAATTTGTGGTTGTTAATGGAGGTTGTGTTAACTGATCTTCAGCCAAATTCACTTTTATCTTTCTCACACATAAATCGGATGACTGAAACTCAGGGCAGAGTCCAGAGATTATAGTCCAGAGATAATAATACATTTATCTGACATTATGAATGAATACACAATGGTATAAGTTTTGTCAGTAATGTCAGTCAACATGTAAATTAACTGCTTTTGTTCGGTCAAGGAAATTATTTTAATATGACTGAATCAATCCAAGTGCATTGGGTTACACCAATCAAAGTCATTCAATGCTTTAAGAAAGCATAATAATATAGAAGTTCTCACAAAAGACTATGATTAAACGACCAGAACACTTGACTTACTGAAGAAGATTAAATTATGAATAACTATATGTTCTTAAATATTACTTGCCATGTCAAAAGCATTTGCATATGGTGACATACTTTCCATTTCACTATTGTTAATATCAAGCGTAGCGTTAGTTCTGGCAGGAGACGTCAGTGAAGCTCACATCAGCTGACTCGGCTGATCCACATCTAGGAATACGACGCCTCTCACAGCATCCATATATAAGGCCCATTCAGTTTATCAGCAGCTTTATCGTGTTGCTCAGAAGCAAATTGCCTTCCTCCATCCCCAGCTCCTCCTCTAATCCAGTCAGGACTTGGCCTTCTGGCTCATTTTTCTTGAATTATGTTGTACATTAAATTACTGAACATTAATAATATCTGCAATACATTTGTTGGTTCTGTTCTGTCTACCCTAAGGGGGTTTATCGCTGCTCTCCCTGCTCTTATCAATGCTAGGCGTCATGGATGGGGATTGAGT